TAGTAAACTCTAACTAAAACTCAGAATTATCTTATATTTATACCTTATGATCTTATTATATTTATATCTCTTATATTAAATGATTGTATTGATTTTGTTTTTACAAAAAACACTCTCCCTTAATTATGATATTATTTGCAAAGAAGTTCCTTACTTCGGAATCATCCTCAATTATCCTGATCTATAAATCATATATTAATTACTCAAGATAATAGAAAAGATTCAAAAAATCATTAGTCAAAATAGACGAAAATTTATTAAGTCTCATGAAAATGGAAGAAGTTAAAACTGCTAGCTAAAAATTAATTATTAGGCTGTGGCTACTTATACGCTTGAATTGAAGATCTTTGAGTAAAAAACTAGCTTTTTGTGGATATTTGAGAATTAATAATGAAGATTTTTTGGAACTGGACTTTATGAAAAGAGAATTAGAATGTTTCAAACGAGGATTCCTAAATCATAAGAATGGGCCTAGAGATGACTGGAGTGTAAATTGATGTATTTAAAACTAAGATGGGACAACTAGAAGGTACACCGGTATTTGTTGATCTCAATTTTGAAATAGATGGAGAGGAAGATGAATGAATTTAGATAATTTTCACTATATATCAAAATGAATTGAAAATGAAATTTTAAATTCTAATAAACCCAATTAATGTGAATGTTATGAACCACCTCACGGCACAAAATCTGAAGATTTTAGTACAATAGATTAATTTTCAGTAATTTCTTGTTGTGCACTGGAGTATATAAAATATCTTGCAATGCTTCCTAATCCACTTACTCTGCTTTTTTATGATAATGATGTTATCCTTGTCATGCTAATAGTTATTACAGTGCAACTTCTAAAATATGGCAAAAATGTAAAGCTCCAGCATTAAATGTAAAAGGTTGTTAATGAAGTTACTGAATATTGAAATAAGTAGTTATATGAATATCTAATTTAATTTACATTTTAAAATTTTGAAATAATTCTTCTTTTTTGAGCTAGACAGTGTATACTAGAATGCTTGTATTAGTGCTTCCTATTTGAATTACATCTCAGAAAATGGTAATTCTCTTTTACTTTACTAAAATGGCTGCCTAGAATTCTTGATTATAAATTAATCTACAAATTTTGTATTCTTTAATTTATATTATAAACCAAATCTCACGTATTCTCACACTGAGTTTTGTTCAACTTCAAGTTCAACATGAGGAAAAACCTACAACTGACACACAGACGTATTAGATGGAATCAATTCGAATGTATAATTACTTAGTACTCATTCCATTCTGATAGATTTAGGTTAAACTCACGATACTTTGAGTTATTTATTCATATTCAGCATTTAAGCCTTTCTATAACTCTATTATCAAATGCAGATCATGAAACAATTTGGTTTACACATCATTTAATGTAGCTATGCAACCCATTATTTTTATAAAAGTTAAGCAAGTTGTGGCATAGGATGTTTCCTATCCCATCGCTTTGACCAGTTATTATAAAAAATTACTGAAAATGTAAACACCTTTTCTTGTAAATATTTAAACTCTCTTTATAATTAAGTGGTACCACAAAAAATTCACTCATATTTTCATATTTAAACATACTCTAAAATAAAATCTCTAAATAGTGTATGTTGTTCTTTAGCCAATTTTATAAGGGAATTTGAAATGTATCCTATATTCAAAGAGCCTGTCACAAAATTTATGATAACTATTTCAAATTTCTATAATCGTGCACTATTTATACTGATGGCTCTAACAGTTAGGACAGCTTTGGTTGCTATTATTAAAATATTAATTTAATACTTGTTCAACTTGCTCAAATAATATTACTAAATGCAGTTACCTTGTAAATCAAGCTGAATTTCCAATATTTCTGCTACATATGTTTCTAATGTAGGTATATCCATGTTCAAAGCGTTCCTATTAAACCGTAGAATTTTACTATAACAATCATATCTTGATAGACTTCTAACTCTCTTTTACTTATATTATGGAATTATTCGGCATATGAACTGATGTTTGCTGTTGTCACATGTAGTTACGTCACTATACTTAATACTGCTATTTGTAATTAGGTATTATAAAGAAAAGCACATATGCAAGGGTAAATTTGAAGAAATGAAAAATCTCAAATTGAATAAAGACAAAATATTAAGTGAAATTAACACAGACAGTTGCAGGAGGAGGGGGGGAGAGATAGAAAGATTAGAAGAGAAAGGAGATGATAAAGAGAGAGAATGATCTTTGGATATTTAGAAATTTAGGCAGCTGTTGCGGATGCTGCTCTAGAGACGGATAATTAATCTTTTGACTCTGAACAGAAAAGTAAATGGACCTTAAATCTAAGAATTTTATCTTTATTTTTCTAAAGATTTTTAATTGAAAGATTAAGGAGTCAGAGTTGCAATTTAATATCTTAAATTATTCTTTATTTTAGGATTTATAGATATTTATACAACAAAAATTATCCACACCATAAATTTAAAAAAGGGAACTTGAAAACTCTTTTATATAACAATCTTAACAAGTTTCATAAAAGGTATTGCTATATTTTTATAATTCATTAAATATTTGTGTTTTTATTTGAACTAATAAGGTAAAGAAATTAGTATTGACAGTTTTTGATAAATTTTTATACTTGGACTTAGTGCTAGTGTATTCAAAAAAATGTTTTCTGAAATTATCTCAAAAAATGTTTTTTCCCAAGATAAGTAAGCCATCTGTGTGTCTTCTTAAACCAAATATATATTTACTACTTATGATATTATATTTCACTTAAGTTTTCATTGGTTCCTCTTTTGTGATTAATTTTATTCAATGATTTGCTTGTGACATCATGATTGAGGGATGTAGTGAATGGAAAAACAAATGCTGTTTAGACCTCCTCAATCTAATACAATTCCCATTTATAAAATATGTTCTAAGGAAAAAATAATATCCATTTTTGTTATCACATCTACCTTAAAAATAATTGAACTTTGTTATTAAATGTTTAAATATTCACGAAGTGTGCATTCTCTTATTAATTGTCCTATTATATGGCAATAATAATGTCATTATAGTTATTAATAAAGTTTTTTATAGAGTGCAAAGTTCGATACAAAATATTAAAAAATGCTGACTTAAATGTGATGGTTGTTGATTAGGAATATACTGGGATTTATGCTATCTTAAATATCTTGTAAATCAAGTTGAGTTAAACACAATACTAAAGCAGATACCTCAAAAAAATCATGCTGTTTGTGTGCCTTGTGAACGTCAAAGATTATATAATAATTCATCTTATTATTTTGCTTGCAACAGTTCCTCTCACAAGTACTAAATGGACTGATCATTGTAAAAAGTTTTCAACATAAATAAATTGCCAGCCTAAAGAACCTTTCTGTAACAAAGATGACAGATGGAAATACAGAGTTTTTGATGGATATTTCTTATCTTGCGCATCTGTCTACTATTTACATTCTAAAAAGTGTTTACTGATTGAACTTCAGTAGGTTTATTAAAGTTTACTTTTGGATGAAAGTATACTTTGTGGCTCCTTTAAGAATCAGCTACATAATAGTATTGGAGGTATTTATAATCTTGCAATAATCAATGCTATAATTGTGAATCTCTTTTTAAGGGTTTGGGTTGGGGTTTGGGGTTTGGGTTTGGGTTTGGGTTTGAAGTTGGGTTTGGGTTTGGGTTTGGGTTTGGGTTTGAAGTTGGGTTT